ATATATATATCTGAACTCAAGTTAGGCGTCAAAAAATTAATTAAGGTCCATGTCTCGAGCCCAATCTATTCGTCAGGCCTAAACAGATTTGATATATATATATATTTTTTGAAAGAAAAATACAAACTCAAGGTCAAAATGTACCTGGGCCGGACTTAAAAGTTTATCACAGATCTTCCTGGGCTCAGCCCAAAAGAACAGAAAAGCAGACGCTTGTAATTTTCGAATTTGTTAGCGCTCTCCCTGTTTAGTTACTGCCAACAGAAATACATTCACTGTCTCCAAGGCCAAAAAAAAAACACACTAAGGTACTAAATCAGGTGTACAAGGATACATCATCTGTGCCATGATCGAGATGATCTTGGCCGTTCATCAGATACGTGCGTTGACTACGCGATGGTCAAACCATGAAGAGGGAATATCAGATTTGACTTCAGACTCTGATTGGGAGTTGCTCGGCCGTTGATTCACCAGTTTCTCTTCCCATGGGACCCATCGTGGGCTCTGGCAAGATCAGACGGGCAAAGAGAAGCTCTCCTATTTGGGAGTAGACCACACAGTATTCCCGCACCGTCGGATGATGACCTCAGATGGTTTGTTTTTGGCGGGAAATATCGAATCCTTCCGTTCCATTCCTTCAACGCCGTGGATGCGGTTGACGACGACGAGGTTGTCGACTCACCGCCGTCCGATTGGTCGCCTGAATCGCCAAACGAATTCTCAGAAGATGCGCGACTGAGATACTCATCAACTGTAGACTTGGACTTCTTGAAGCTGGGGCGGCGCCGCCGTCCACGAAGGCTCTCTTCCATGAAATCGCGATAACCGATGGCGGAGACGCCGCTGAGAGCAGCAAAATCAGAGCCGTTGATCACCATGGCGCAAATGTTGAGGACTCCGTGGAACCTTCCAGAAGGGCGGCGGATTTGGAGCGCGGTGAAAGCGGGAGCCTTCATGGATGGAATCACGGCGGATGTAGCGGCGGGCGAGGGAAGGAAATTGCTAATCAGGAAACGCACGGTTCCAATTATATTGTCACGGAGGATACCAACGGCGTAGATCTCAACAGATACGGCGGAGGTTTCGCTGCAGAGGAAATCAGGGGAAACCTTGAAGAAAAATTTGTCATTCCAGGACGGGTTCTCGCCCCCAATTTTGTCAATTCGCGAGTGAAGCTTCATGGACGGATCGACCCAAACCACCGCATACGTCTGCAATCGACGCGATTTGATTGAAGGCTCCTTCAATTCTTGAGCAGAGATCAAGTTAACCTCCAAAACATGCGTCTCCATGCGACTCTCTCTTTCTCCCTTCTCTGTCTTTCTTTCTTTTTTTTTCTTTTCTCTTTAATCCGCGATTTGATCAAGAAATGATGAGAGAAATGCACGGTTCCTCAAACAAGAACCAAGAAAGAACCATTGACGGTGAAGCACACCGGCGGAAGATGCCGGCGGAGATAGGGAGAAGGAGAGGGGAAGGAGCGGGGGTTTGAAGTTAGGCTTAAGCTGGTTATATATGTGGTGGTTACGGTGAGGCAGTGCTGGCCGCTGACTCCTGATGAGTGAATCTAGGGGATATGGTTGGGCGGTGTGCTGGGATTTGGCTGTTTCTAGGCTGTAACTCCGGTTTCCGGCTTCCTTTCAGTTACAACGTTCTAATTTCCGATGACCTGCTTTATCCAGCGTTTGATTGTATTTTCAGTGCCACGTGGCAAAGATCTTTTACTTGAGC